TCACCACCATGCCACATTTAAACTGAGTAGGTTCAGTGACAGATTTTGGACTGTCATTAGCATCAGAGAATGCAGCACATGTCCTTCGGGGCCAGAGATTGCAGTGCCAGTCAGACTGGGACCTACATGAAAGCCTCCACAGTGGAGAACTAGATATCAACGTGAGAGAGAGCAGACGTGGGACTGCTGCCCCACAGAGGCAGAGGCGGGGCCTTCGCCCAAGCTTGCTGGAGGACTGGGGTCAATTGCCAGGACTAAGAGAGCTTTGCTGTCATTGGGCCTGACAGCTGAAAGCAGAAGGACCCTTGAGAAGCTGCCCTATGGAATTGTATCCTATTGCCAATCTGAGTTGTCAGCTGTTAACATCCTCTAATTAACCCCACAAATGTGAGTGTGGTTCTGTGTGAGTTGTGTGGCCTTTACAACAAATTTCAGACCCAGCAGTAGAGTGATGAGAGCTCTGGATTGGTTAAAATTAGAAGCAGTAGGTTAGGTGTGGGAGTGTGGGGCCATGTCTGACCTCATGGGGTTAGGTTTTGTGGATATTGTTGATGGGGACAGTTTCTCCTTTTGGAGTCAGTAGAGGTCAGATATGCTGTCCCCCAATAGTTTCCACTCTTTACAGTATGTTAATTCCACCTAAAATTGCTTTAAAAGTAATTAGACCCTTCTTTTAATTTCTCCTTGCAGCTTCTTAATAGGTTATATTAACCCAAGCTGTTCTAGTGAGTTTTTTAAAACTAAAATGGGATGTTGTTGCTATGTAATAACATTGAGTCAACTCCAACTCATTGTGACTCTATGTACAAAAGATTGAAATATGACCTATTTCTGCACCATTCTAACAATCCCTGCTATGCTGCGACCCACTGGTATAGCTACTGTGTTAATCCACCTAGTTGAGGGGTTTCTTCTTTTTTGTTGACCCTTACTTTACTTAGCATGGTGTCCAAAGTGTGTGAGATAAAGTCTTACCATCTTTTTTTAAAGAAAAATTAATTTTAATTGTGATTTTGAGGAATGTTAGAGAAAATTTGGATTTTCATTCATTCATTGTTATACATTTTCCTCCTCCCCTCCTCCAGTTCACTTTCTTTTTTTTTTTTTTTTAGCGGTCTATGAGGTATTGTTCTTCACCAATGCCACAATCCAAATACATCAATTCTTCTTTGGTTTTATTTGTTGTCCAACTTTCACTTGGATATGTTGTTGCAATTGTTAGATGCCATCAAGTGTGATTCATAGCAACGGGCTCAAGTATGTCAGATGATGAGAATGACACAAGAGAGGATAGTTGGGAGCTCTGGTGACCTAGTGGCAAGAAGCTGCACTGCAATCCCAGAGGTATGCGGTTCTAATCCACCAGATGCTCTGCTGGAGAAGGAGGGACAGTCTCCTCCTGCACCAGTCAGATCCAATTTGACAGTACACACACACAAAATAATAATAATAATTTTTTTTTTAAAAAGAGAGGCTAGTCACTGTGTCAGTCCATCTTTTACTGATTCTTTACTTTTCCAAGCATGATGTCCCTCTCCAAGGAAAACCTTCTCCTATCAACATGCCCAAAGTATGTGAGATAAAGCTTTGTTATCTCTGCCTCTAAGTTGCACTTTAACTGCACTTTCTCCAAGTCCTATCTGTTCTTTTTGCAGTTCTTGGGGTATTCAGTACTCTCCTTCAACATGAGAGCTCAAAGGCATCAATTCTTCTGTCATCCTTATTTATATAATCTAGTCCTCAGATGCACAGCAAGTGACTGAAAAGACCATGGTCTGAATCAGGCACACCTTAGTCTCCAAACTAACATCATTGCTCCTCAGTAAATTGGAGAGGACCCTGAAAGCAGATTTTTCCAATGTCTTCTGATCTCCAGACTGCTGGTACCACAGATTAGTTGTGGATCCAAGTAAGATGAAGTTATTGACAATTTATATCTTCTCCCTTAGTGCTCAAAGTAACATGTTTGATTTTCATTTCTTTAAAGAGATCAATTACAGTAGATTGGCCCAATACAACACATTGATATCTTGAGTGCTGCTTCCATTTACTGGTGGACATAGGTGGAATGAATCCTCAACAATAATCTTTTCTGCATTTACTATGATCATTCTGTTTTCAGGTGATTCCTATGCATCTCAAAGTTGGACAAATTCATTGTTGAAGGATGACAGAACCCTTTAAATTGTGGTATTAGAGAAAAGTGCTGAATATCCCATGGACTGCCAAAGAAACTTAGTCTTGGAGAAAGTGCACCTACAGTGCTTCTTAGAGGTGTATGCATATGTATCAGTAAACACATCAGCATGCAGATATGTTGTCTGCACATTGCAGGTTAATGATTCTTCCTCCAATCCCAGTGCTTAATTCTTTATATAGTTCATCTTCTTGGATTATTTGCTCAGCATACAGATCAAATTAGGTTGGTGAGGATATATACAGCACACCTTTGCTGATTTTAAGCCATACGGTATCTTCTTGTTCTGTTTGAACAACTCCTTCCTGATCTATGTACAGGTTTCACGTGAGCCTCTACCTTTCTCAGCAGGCTATCTTTTAATTCCTTTGTTCTGGAATTCCTATTCTTAATGTAATACATAATTTGTTATAATCCATATAAAATAATTTGTGTACTTGAACACAGGAAAATACTGTTCTGCATGCCCTATTTACAGCCAAGATCCATCTCATGTCAGCATATAGCCTTTCTTTCCCATCTTCTTTTGGATCTGGCTTGAATTTCTCTAAATTTCCCGTTGATGTACTGTTGTAACCGGTTTTAAATTCTCCTCAGTAAAATTTTACTTAAATGAGAGAGCAAACTGACATTTTCCCTATCCAGCTATTTTTATATCCCTCATCACATCTATAGCTGGATCTTTTGTTTACATCACAAGTACAGCTCAAATGTGACAATTTACTACTTCTCAGCCGATTATACAGTTTGTTCACACAAGTGCTGTCTTCAGAAAATATTTTATTCTTTTTCACCATAGTAATTAAAGAACAGATCAAAAGACAGGTGGTATGATGTGACATTCCTACAGAGTTATTATGAGGTTTATGTGTGAAGCTCTGTCATATCCAAAATATTTTAGTATCAACCCAGATAAACTTTTTGGTCCTTTGAGAGTTTTTGTTGCTGTTAAGTGCTGTTGTCAAGTTGAGTATGACTCAACAACCTTATGAACAAATCTGAACCCTGTTCTATCCTGTGCCATTCTCATCATCGTTGACATGGGTGAGCCCACTGCTGCAGTCAGTGTGTTAATCCATCTCATTGAGGCTCTTCCTCTTCCACTGAATTCTGCCTTTCCAAGGGAATAGCTTCTCTTAACAACATGCTCAAAGTATATGAGATGAAGTGTCACCATCCTTGCCTCCAAGAAGCATTCTGGTGTACTTTCTCCAACATGTTTATTCTTTTTGAAGTCCATAGAATATTCAGTTCTCCCCTCTAACACACTCAAAGGCATTGATGATTCTTCTGTCATCCTTATTCACTGTCCAGTTCTCAGATGCATAGCAAACGACTGAAAAGACCATGGCCTGGATCAGGCACACTTTAGTCTTCAAACTGACACCATTCCTCCTTAGTATTTTGAATGGGGTCCTTGATAGCAGACTTTGCCGATGCAACATGTCTTTTGATTTCTTGACTGCTGGTACCAACGGTGTTGATTGTGCTTGTTCTTGTCGTGTGCTGTTGAGTTGGAACAGAGCCACAGCTGACCTTCCAGTGGTTTTTCAGAGGCAGTAAATTACATGGCAGGAGACTGCCTATCCTTCTCTTGCAGAGTAGCTGGTGGATTTGAACCAAATGCTTTTAAGATTGTAGTACAGCTTCTTACCACTAGGCCACCAGAGCTCCCTCCTGATTGTGATAGAAGTCCACATATGACATATTTAATTTGAAAATAGCAGATTTAATAGAAAACATCACATTGTAAACAAGTCCATTAATTCATTAGATTAAGAGAGAATGGCCACACAATCACACATACAGAAGCTAAGGATGAAATACTGGTATTAAATGCAGCACTCAAAAGAGGTCTGAACCAGCCTCAAAGGTCTTTCTAAAAACAGAGAGAGCAGCAACTTCAAACAGGCAAATGGTAGCATCCACTCCACAAAGGCTTAGGAGACTAAAGGGAGGGTGGAGCAATAGACTCATCTTGAATAAGGGCTCAAGGATAAAGGACAAAAGGGCTCTATTTCCTGATGTTCTGGGACCACTGGACCACACACCACAGGAACTGGGAGGACCAAAAGGGCAGGGTCTCTGAAGTGGAGGAAAAGCTATCAGGTGGCACGCACTTGCCTCGCCTGGGAGCAGAACAGCATGGCATGTGTGTCGTGACTAAACTCTTAACAGCTGCTTGCCTTGACCCCTGTCACCTTACTGAACAAGAACACTGAACTAGAGAGTGTCTGCCCTCCTGAGGGCCTCCTACCTTTTTACTGAGTACACAGTAAAAGAGGGGGGGGCTGTGAGAACTATCAACAAAAGTATAAGGCTCTGGCAGGAAAAGGCTTTCTGCCTTCCTCTTGCTGGTGCTGGAAGAGCCCCAAGAGAAAGGGGGCTGATGTGGCTGGGCCCACTGGGGATCTGGGTTCATCAGAAAACACTTTCTCTACTCAACCCCTTCCCCAGGGAGGCCTGTAAGTTCATAGAAAGGTCAGCTGTGGGAGCAGAAAAACAAGCGTGTTTGGGAGAGGAAGTGAGAGTTTTCTTTCCATGACACTTGTTACTGATAACCCACTACTTCTTGAGACACTGAGAAAGTTTATGTCTTAAGGGGCAGGTCTGCTCTGGAGAGACTAGCAAGACTCTCAGGAGAGGCTGTGTCCAATAAGTGCTAGTGCCCCCTCGTGGAGAGTCCGTGCACGTCCTGATGGGAGTGTGGAAAACTTCTAATCTGGATGTGGTGGGTGGGTATCAAGATGATGTGATACATTTTTCAGAGGGTTTTGTGTTTTGTTAAGTTAGAATCAAGTTATTCAAGCCTCACATCCAAGAATAACATGTTTACCCACTTATCTGGAGTTAACCATACAAAATAAAAGAGACAGTTTTGTTTTCCTAAAGACAATTTCCAGAAAGACCCGCTTGTCCCGATGAGGTACTTGATGCCAGGTTCCAGCACAGGCTAATCGCTGTATGATTTCTTAGAAGGCTCGTGTTTTTCTGTTTCTTTCTCTTTGATGCTGTACAAGGGGTCTACCAACTTGCTATGAACAAGCATTAAACCTACAAAAAAATTGAAGAAATGTTGAGCACAGGCAGCAGTCTCATGTTTACCAGTTCAGCTCCCTGCATAACAAGGAGGTTCTCAAATAGTGCTGGGGCTGATGCTCATCATCTTTTGTCTGTGATCTGCAATAGTAAACCCTTACAAGTAGAAAAGGGCCTGCTGATCCCAGTGAGTGCTCCAGTTCACAGCACTTGAGTAAATAAAGTCTGTCCCCGGGGAGATGGCTAACGGTCAACATTTTCAGAAAAGAACCAATTCCCACTATACTTGTTTAGTAAACAAGAATTTCAAAGAAAAAGGCAGGCATCTTCATGTCTAGTTTTAGTTCTTTGTCTATGGGGAGAAAAAGCCGCATAGATCTGCAAAGGATAAAACTTGGAGGCTCACTGTCTCTTAAAAGTTCCTCAGTTTAGAACCTCTGATCCAATTTTCTGTAAGAAATGGGGCGGGGGAAGCGAGGAGGAAAGAGACTGGAATGAAATTATGCACATTTCGAAAGAAGAAAAAACAAATTTTCAGCAGAAGCCTTCTAAGAAAAGGCTCCAGGGGGGAAAAAACCAACCAAACAAAATGCCTGCAAAGATACTACTACACAGCCCCGGGCCCACAGCTCTCATTTCCTACCCTCCTACTCCAGAAAGGGAAGCTTGCCAACATGAGCAGAAAGAACGCCTGAGCATCAGGAGACTGCGGCATCAGATTGTTATTAAAGTCAGGGGCGTGTTAAGATGTTCGCAGCCTGAACGCATCACTCCTCCCTCACCTTTGAAATACTTGACAGTCTTCACTTTCAGCTCCAGGGTGGCGTCTTCGTCGCACACAAACACGGTGCGGGGATGCTGCTGGAAGGCGGACACGGTCCACATGTGGCTCACGCCCTCCTCGATGGCCTTGTACAGTGCGAACGCTTTGTGAGCCCCTGTGATGAGGATCATCACCTGGGGGAAAACAAGGCAGTGACAGAGGACAATGAGTATCCAGCCAAGGGTTCCAGACCCCTGGATTCTAGGCGAGCCCCTCACATATGTGGTGGTGGTGTGGACTGTCGAGTCAGAACCCACCCATAGCTGATCCTCTGGTGAGTTTTCAGAGGCAGTTAATCTCACAGGAGAAGACTGTCCATCCTTCTCCTGTGGACAGCTGGTGACCTCAAACTGCGTGCCTTCAGGATTGCAGTACAGCTTCTTGCCACTAGGCCACCAGAGCTCCCTGACATGGGTATTAGAGCTGCTCTATTTAATACATATGACAAAGAGTTGTAAAACACTCCATGCTCAGAGGCGCTCTTGTTTGATTACACAAACACAATCCTCATGTTGTCTACAGAAATGGGCTCCTGTGAGGGTGATTTGCCTAAAGTCTCAAAGCTAAGAAACAGGTGTTTCTGATGCCAAAGCCTGTGGTCTTGACCACCATGTGAGAATGCTTCCGGGCGAGGATGGGTGTGAAATGTCTCTTGAAGAGACCTGCCATATAAAGGCCACACCCTTCATCCAGAGAGCCCGATGCTGGGATCCTAGGGGCGCCTGGTTGGGGGAGTTTTCAGTGCCATGACCTGCAAACCTAAAAGTGCCTGGAAGCAATGGTGAGCTACCTGTGAGGCTCCGAAGGCTGAATTCCAGAAGGGCTGTCCTTATCTAGCCACCTTCATTCTGTTCAGTGTGTTCAACCTGCTAATGTGACCTAGGGGAGAGCTCTGAGGATGCACTGCTTTTTGTGCGAGTAAAACAAAGGCAGACTCCCCTGAAGAATGTGTGAGGGGGTGACACCAAAGAACTCAGCCCTGAGATCTCCTCTCATGTGTCACTTGTACTATGGACCTCTGAAGAGAATTCACTGATTCTTAAAAGGTGAGAAAGCAGAGGCAGAGGAAGAAATGGCTAATTTTTAAGAAACCCAGAACTGACTTTAGAATCTCCTGATTTCTAGCCCCAGGTCTTGTCACAGATCAAGATATTCTCTTGTCTGTTAAGGACAGCCCTCAGCACTATGGGTAAGCAAGCGGCAGTGCCAGAACCAGTTGTGGCCTGTTATTATTGGGACATGTTACCAAGTCAGATTCTACATAGAACTGACCCTCCAGTGGTTTTCATAAGGGTATAAATTACACAGGGGGAGACTGCCCATCTTTCTTGTGCGGAGCAGTTGGTGGACTCCAATCAGACGCCTTTGGGTTGGCAGTGCAATTCCTTACCACTGAGGCACCAGAGCTCCCTTGTGGTCTACCTAGGTACTGATAAAAGGTGACCCAACAGAAACCTGGAGGCTGGCATTCCTGTCACAGAAGTTTAAGCAGGAAACTTTTTCACTAACTCAGACACTTATTTACAAACCTGGGCAAAGAAACCTGAAGCTAAACTTGCAGCTGCTTCTTATCATTTTATGCCATTAAAATAACTTCTAAAATTCTAATGAAAAACATTAAGGAAAAGACTACAAGAAGATTAATACCTAACTTTTTGGCAGGCAGGGGAGGGGAAACTTCACTTAATTCAGTTCAAGACACAAACTTTCATCATCTTTCCCATGTTTACTAATCCCTGCACACTTGGGTCTAACCACAGGCCATGGGGGCCAGGGGGAGTGCCCTATAGTGGGCACCACTCATTTCAGGGACAAGACAGTCCGTCCTTCCAGACCTGGGCAGGGATGAATTCATATTCCAGTGTTAATGGTGCTGGATTCCTGTTTGCCTGTGAGAAGCATAAAAGGGGCCAGAGTGTCTGTGGTTCCCTGCATAAATTACACACAGAAAGCTTTCACTGCACCCGGGGAACAAAGTTACTTTTAAAGAAGTAACATTAAAAGGAATTGGCTAGCATTTCAGCCTTTATATAATGTCTTAATTTTTAATTAGAATTTTTTCAGTGCTATCTATATAATTAAAATCTGAAATGAAATAAAATAAAGCCCTTCACTCTGGTCCTATGAGGGTCCTGTGCCCTTACCTCTCTAGCATCCATGACAGTGCCCACACCCACTGTCAGGGCCATGGTTGGCACCTTGGAAAGATCGCCATCGAAGAACCTGGCATTTGCCAGGATGGTGTCCATGGCAAGTGTCTTCACACGGGTTCTGGACACCAGACTGGAGCCCGGCTCATTGAAGGCAATATGTCCATCAGGGCCAATGCCTGCCAGGAGAAAACAACAGGGCAACCCTGAATCCCAGGGCTCCAGGATTTCAATACAGATCAGCTTTCTCCTGCTTCAAACAGGACCTGGAAGAATCCTTGCACAACAGGATTCTTATTTTTCTACCTGCACATGTCCACTTTCAGCTTATTACCTCTACTCCACCTCTCTGAGACACACAAAGATTCACTAACTGCTACTACCCTCAAGAAGCTAAGGAAATTTCCCTCTGTTGCAAGACACGAAGGCCTGTGTAAAATGGCTGGCCCAAGAGTGTCTTCCAGCCACTGCTTCCCCAGCATCTGCTCAAGGCTGCAGCCAAACCCAGGCACACTCACACCCTGGATGGTGGCAGAACCACTGCTTGTCAGGTTGGGGGGCTAGAGTTTTAGACCACAATCCTGCCCAGAGCACTAGATCACGCCTCCACCACCTGGAGACCACCCAGCTGCCTGCCGCCCCTGCTGTCCAGCACCAAGAGGACCAATATCACAGGTACTTTGGCTGACACACTGCTGTCTAGCTAAATCTTGTGAGATTTCTTAAGCAGAAGAGACCAGGTGGAGGCTCAGCTTCAGGAGGGCAACAGTCATCCCACTCCTGTTTGACTATTCTTCCCAAGAGGGGAGCACCAATATACAAGTCCTTCACAAAACATTTCCGTGCTCTGGGTCATTATATAGTTACAACAACCTAGCACCTACTAAGAAAAGACTCACACAATGTCAAGAAAGCAGCAGTCTGCCTCAGTCATAAAAAAAACAAACAAAAAAACCTTCTTCTAAAAAGGCAGACCCAATGACTATCCCAGATAGAACCAGAAGAAATATGTTCATGTGGAGTTATTTGAACAGCTACAGAAAAAAAGACACAAATGATAGAAGAAATAATGGAAGTCATTAAAAGAGCAAATACCCCAGAGACAATAATCCAGAAAAAAAAAACACTGATAAGGAACAACTTTAACAGCTATCGAAGAAAATGCAAAAAATGGATGAAAGAATGGATAGTATAGATAAAGAGGTACAAGAACTTAAAACATTATCACAGAGAAGATAGAGCCCACACAGTACTGGAAATAACAGAAAAGCATGAAAATGCAATCCAAAATATTAAGACAGAAGTGGCAGAAGTTGTTGCAGCAGAATACTGCTCCTGTTATGTGCCATCCCTGCAATATTCTGTGCCAACCTCACTGTCTCCAACAAACCTACTCCCATGACCCCAATCACTGAATCGATCCATCTCACTGAGGGTCTTTCTTTCTTATGCTGTCCCTCCACCCTCCCAAACATGATGTCCCTCTCCAAGGACTAGTCACTCCTTGCAACATGCCCAAAGTATGTCAGACGAAACTTCAGAATCCTTGTCTCCAAGGAGCAGCCTGGTTTCACCCTCTCCAAGATGAATCTGTTCTCCTAGCAGTCCATGGTATATTCAACATTTTTCTCCAGCACCACAGCTCAAAGACATCAATTCTCTTTCTATCATCCCTAGTCATTGTCCAGCTCTCTGATGCATAGCAAGAAATTGTGAAGTCTATGGCCCAGATTAGGCACGCCTTAGTCTCTAGCTTGATGTTGTTGATTTTCAGAACTCTGGTGAGGTCCCTGGCAGCTGACTTTCCCAAAGCAATTCATCTCCCGACAAAAAAGTAGAACTGAAGAGACAGAACAGAGAATCATGAGAGGTGGAAGACAAGAGACTCACTGGAAACATACTAGAAGAAAAATTAGAGATGAGATGTAAACAAAAGGCAGAAAACATTAGAATCATGTGGGATAACATCAAAAGGAACAATATAAGTATGACTGTAATTCCAGAACATGTGAATGACAGGGAAGTCATGAAGAAAATTGTGGAAGAAGTACTAGAAGAAAAATTCCCTGGTATTTTGAAGAACAAGGAAATCCACATTCAAAAAGCACAACAAACACCAAATAGATTATACTCAAAAAGAAAAATATAAGGACATATCATAGTCAAATTCTCCAAATTAAAAGATAAGACTAGAATACTAAAAGCAGCATGAGAAAAGCCAATAATCATCTACAAAGGGGAAACATTTAGATTAAGTTCTGATTTCTCAGCAGAAACCATGTGAGCTAGAGGACCTTGGAATGGCATATATAGAAAGTATGAAAGAAAATAGCTGCCAGCCAAATATCCTATACCCAGCAAAGCTCTCCATCAGATATGAAGGAGAAATTAAATCCTTTGCAAAAAAAGAAGGATCTTAAGGAATTTGTGAAAAGACCAAAATTACAAGAAATTTTAAATGCATTGATACACACAGAGACTCCAAAGGAAAGCTGATGGGGCATAGTAACCATAACAACAGAAAAAGAAACATGGCAAAATGACAGAAGTAAAGCATGGCCTGACAATAATCCCACTTAATGTGAATGGACTAAATGCACCAATCAAGAAAAAAAATAGTGTAGAATGGATAAAAAAACAAAGTCCATCAATATGTTACCTACAAGACACATCTAAATAATGGAGAGAAGGCAAACTCAAAATTAAAGGCTGGGAAAAAATATACCAAGCAAATGCAACCACAAAAAGCAGGAGTGGCAATATTAATCTCTGAAAAAATAGACTTCAGAATGAAAACCACCATAAAAGATAAGGAAGGGCATTACATACAGTTTAAAGGCATAATAGATCAAGGCGACATAATCTTGGTCAACATGACAGACCTGTAAAATACATAAAACAATGGTTAAAAGAATAAAAGAAACAGCACCACAATAGTGGTAGGAGACTTCAACACACCACTATCACCAAAGGACAGGTCAACTCAAAAGAAACTTAACAAAGATGCAGAAGATCTAAACTATACAATCAGCCAACTCGACCTTGTGGATATATTCAGGGTACTGCACCCAATTAAAACTCAATTCACTTTCTTTTCAATGCACATGGTACATTCTCCAAAATCAATCATATATTAGGACACAAAGCAAGCCTCAACAAATTAAAAAAACACAGAGATAATACAAAGTATCTTCTCAGATCACAAAGCTATAAAACTAGAAATTAACCACAGGAGGGTAAAGCTTATTAATACCACCCCTATGGAAACTGAGTAACTCTACAGGATTGGGTTATCAAGGAAAGTTTACAGAATCTTGCAAGGCCTCTACAAGAAAAAGACTGATAACAAAATTACAAAATGGGCAAAAGACATGGAAAGAATTTTCAGAGAGGAAGGTATTTGGATGGCCAACAGACACCTGAAGAAATGCACCAAATGACTGGCACTAAGAAAGATGCAAATCAGAACTATAATGAGACACCATCTTACTCCTGTAGCAGTGGCCAAGTTTAAAAGGAAAGCAAATAATAAATGTTGGAAAGAAGGTGGTGAGATAGGAACTCTTTCTTAAACACTGTTTATGGGATTGTAAAATGGCACAACCATCCAGTTCCTAAACAATATGCCTCTGGAAACTCTATGAACTTTGATAAATGTCGATAGTTGCAGAGGGGCTTCAGACCTTTTGTTCATAGGGTCTCTATGAGTCATGCTCAACTTGAAGACAAACATCAACAACAACTCTGGGAGACAGTTTGGCATTTCTTCAGAAGCTTAACAGAGAAATTCTATATGACCCAGCTATTCCGCTGATAGGAATATAGTCTAAGAAAATAAGAACTGACACACAGAGACTTGTACACCATGTTCATAGCCGTGTTATTTACCATAGCAAGTTATTTACATAGCAAGAATTTGGAAACAGCCCAAATGTCCAACCACAATGGAATGGACTGAGAAATTATGGTATAATCACATGATAAAATACTACACAGTATGTAGGAGCAAAGATTTTGTAAATCTCTACCTACCTTGGGAGGGACTGAAGAGTATTTTGTTAACTGAACTAACTCAGTCCCGTAAGGACAAATACTGTATAAGATTATTATTGTAGAATATGTGAGGATCCAAGGGGAGCAGGATGGGAGCACAGTGGTGAGGATGCACGAGGGTTGGGGGTGGGTGGGGGGTGGTTAAAGGATATGGGAAAGATTTGGTGTGAAAAACAATGTATATGAACTTTGAAAGAAAACCTGTACCAAAAAAAAGAAGCAGCAGCTAAGGAAAGCACCACTCCAATAGTTTTGGCCACTTGAGTGATCAGAAAAGTGTAATTCCTCTGCCCCTCCCACCTGTGATTAGAGGCCCCTGCTTCTGGGCAGAGATGCAATGAGTAATACAAGTCTGAACAGGCAACACAAAGTTTATAAAATCTCAGAACAGAAAAGCTCATCTCCTTGACCTTGAAATATACAACAAAAATAACCCTCAAACCCATTCTGGAATAGATTCCCATTCATAGCAATCTTATTGAGCAAATGAAACCACTCCAGAGTTTCCAAGGCCTTAAAGGAAGAAGCTTAATGTACCCTTACTGGAAGAAGCCCTGGTGGCACAGGGTGTACTGATTGGTCTGGAATTACCAAAAGGTGTGCAGTTCTAACCTGCCAGCCATCCTGTAGGAGAAAGAGGAACGGTCTTGGAGACACAGTGGAGGGTGTCTATGAGAACTGAGGCACAGAGACTTGTACACCATAGTCTTAACTGCAGTGGCTTGGTTTTGGTTATCTTAATGGCTCTTCTCCTGGGTGATGAGTTTAAACCACCAACCTTTTGGCAGCTGAATACTATATAGTCATGGTAACACCAGAGCTCCATTATCATGAAGTACAGAAGAACTAAAAACTATAAAAGGAAATCCACCTTTACTCCCCTGGGGGTGCTGCAGAGGTGACATCATGTGGAGACCTAAGAGGACAGCCCACGGTATAACACAAATCTGAGAGGCAGATGCCTTATGCAAGAGACAGCCTGGGGCTGGTCATACAACTTGCCTAAGGCTCAACTGGCCATTGGTAGCATACAGGGAGTGAAGGCAGAACCTTCTCAAAGCTGTGACTGGAAATATTTGATTAAGTTGCATGACTGATCCACACAGCCTTATGCCTGGGGAATAGACAGACTCTGAGTTCAAATCCAAACCTCTCAAATCCCAGACAAGGCATCCAAGTGCAGAGAAGAAGCTGTTCAAGATCACCCACTACTGCATGACAGAGCAGGGCAGGGATCTAAGGCACCCACTCTCGGCACCTTTTCTGCCTCTATAAGAGTTTAAGGGTCCTCACTGTCACTGGCACAGACTGAGGAAGCTGCTTGGAAACTGACATGGAATCTCGTCCTCCTCTGTCCACCCAGGGCCTGGGCTGGCAGCCATGCTGCAGACTGCCAGGCTCACCTCCAACCACCCAGGGCCTGGGCTAGGTCCCGTGCGGTGGAATGCCAGGCTCACCTCCAACAAACAGCTCAATCCCACCCGCAGCCGTGATCTTCTCTTCAAAGGCGTCACACTCAGCCTGCAGGTCGGTGGCATTCCCGTCCAGAATGTGGGTGTTTGCTGGGTCGATGTCAATGTGTTTGAAGAAGTTGTTCCACATGAAGGAGTGGTAACTCTCAGGGTGGTCTCGAGGGAGGCCTGTAGAGCCAGAGCCACACTCAGTCACTCAAGCTGGGCCAGGCTTTGCTAACCACAGAAGCGCCAGGAAGCACTCAGACCCACAGAGGAGTTCCTGGGAGGGACTGTCAGCCTGAGGGCCTAACGTATCTTCTGCTTCCCACCTGAAGCAATGTCCATAAAGGACAGCCTACTGCCAATAGCCTTGACCAAGAAACGGGCCAGAGTAGCTACACACCAGGGAATCATGAACCCACTAATTTATGATCACACAGGCTCGAGGCAGGGGTCGATCAAGGCTTCAAGAAGTGGTCGAGACAGATTGGAGGTAGGCTAGGGAAGCAGGACACCCCTCACCCTGTGCTTCCACCATTCACCTGTTATGCCCTTGTGGCCACCTCAGCCCAAATCCCAACATGAACATCATGTGGCTGGAAGGAATTATCTCAGAGCTTCCTCAAAAGGAAGACGTGCAGGAATATTTAAAATGAAGCTATCACCAAATGATGAGGATCGGGGTAGACATAGAAGACCAACAAGCAGCTTTGGAGCCGCAATCAAAGGACACACCTCACTCTCAGCTCCCCTCCCAGAATACCAGGCAGTCAGGGGAGCTGGAGGGAGAATGCCAGAACAAACTCTATTTACAGTCACTTGTTCTAAGAAGAAACAACATGCAGCTAAGAGGTGGCAGGAGAGGAGAGGATACTGTGATTGTTATTAGGTGCTTACTATATGCAAGCAATTTCCACCTCTACTATGATGCCATTTAATGCTTACAGCCTGTGAGGTCAGCTTGATTAGCCCCCAGCCCTTTATTTCTTTTTAGCAGAATAAATCACCCCTGGAAGAGTCAGAAATTGATAGCTGCGCCTATCACCGGACGTCATGGGCACCTGAGACATGCCCCCTCCTCTCTAGGACCAAGTACGTGAGAAGTGTGAGAAAGACACTCCTGGAATCAGGTAAGGACTTAACTCACCCACATATTCATCCATGTTGAAAGTCTTGACGTATTTGAAGGAGAGGTCCCCATTGTTGTAGTATTCAATAAGTTTCTTGTAGCAGCCAAGTGGGGTGCTCCCTGAAAGCAAAAAAATGTCCCTTCAGCCTCCAGCTCCTGAGCACCCTCTGAGCACCCAAGAACGCATCAGGTTGTCCCCACAAAGCGACTGTCAGACTTGAGGGACACAAGGTAGAGCCGCAGTCCTGCCCAGAGTTCAGTGTCACCGGTCATCTTTTAATTGCATGGCTAGTGCCTAATCCCCGCTGGACAATATACTCCACGAGGGCAGACTGTGTCTCTTTAATTCACTGAATCCCAGTGCCCAGCACACTGGCCGCTAGAATGGCTGTGGGCGGCACCTGTGTGAATGCCAGCCTTAATCACTGACTACTTCACGTGAGTCGCTTCACTGCCTGCAAGTGAAGCATAAAGGAGCCCTGGTGGCTTATGTGTAACTATTGAGCTGCTAACTTAAACGTTGGCAGTTTAAACCACCAGCTGATCCATGGTAGAAAGATGGGTAATTTCCTTCAGGAGAGATCGAGAGTCTCAAAACCCTGACAGAGGTTCATGATGATGTCATGGGAAACAACCTAACAAAACAAAACCAAAAACAACAAACAAACAAAAAACCAGAAAGGAGAAAAAAGACCCACAGTGTCTGCCCTAGAAGAGCTTCCTGTGCATGAGGGCCAGTCGTGCCACGACAGTCATGTCAGCTAAGGGCGAGCTCACCATGAGGGTCAAGGACAGCTTCCCGGAGGACCAGCAAACCTCAAGCAGAGGAGGCTCATTAAAAAGCCAATGTCATAAAACACACACATTAAAAGAAGGGAGGAGGGCAGCAGGGCCACAATACACCAAAAGGCTAAAATCCCGACTGCATACTGAATTACTTGACAATTTGAATGTAATATTTACATTCTATGGTACTGTGGAATGATTTTTAAGTTTAAGTGTAGCAATGGTCGCATTATGGTTCTAGAGGAGAATGTCCTTCTTCTTAGGAGATAGGTACTGACGGATTTAGAGGTTAAATGGCAGGACATCTGCAAAGTACTGTTAAGTGGTTCAGAAAAAAACCTCCCAGAACTCTATCAATGTTTGTAAGTGGTGGAGCAGGAAGGAAGGAAGGGAGAGAACATAAGATATCAGATTAAACAAATGGGACAAAATGTTAACAGCTGGTGAATCTAGATGAAAGGCATCTGAGTGGGCACTGCACTCTTCTGTTAACTTCTTTGAATATTAGGAATATAAATGAAGGGATAAAAGTCATACCCCAATCAGATCCTATCACTCCTCTTCTCATTTCATGGAGTAATAACAGGTCCTTACGAAAGTCCTACAGAAGGGGGCTCCTGGGCATCTCTCTCCTTTTTTCACCTCAAGACCTTTGCACCTGCTGTTCTGCCAGAAATGCCCCTCCTTCAGGTGCCTGCATGGCCAACTCCCTCATCTCAAAATTACTAAAATGTCACTGTCAGAAAGCCTCAGTGCCATCACACCTATCACTGCAACTGTTGACATACCTTGTCTTCCTAGCTTCTGAGGAGACACTCCGATTTTCCTTCCTGGCCTCATTTTCCTCCTTATCTCTTATCACCTACCACACTATATATTTTACTAAATAACTTGTTTATTGTCTATCTGTCTCATAGTTTAAGCTTGAGGAAAACAAGAAATTGTGTTATTGCTGTTAGGTGCCATCGAGTTGACTCATAGCAACCTGATGAACAAACAGATCAGAACCCTGTCCTGTGCCATCCTCAGTCTCTGACACACTTAACTCATTGCTGCAGTCACTGTGTCAATAACCTGGTTGAGGGTCTTCCTCTCTTAGCCATCCCTCCATCTTTCCAGGCATGATGAAATGTATCTTTCCCTTTCCAAGGAATAGCCTCTCCCAAATACATGTCCAAAGTATGTATGATGAGTTTGTAATCTTTGCCTACAAGGAGCCCTCTGGCTACACCATATTTGTTCCTCGGGCAGTTCATGGGATAGATGTGCAGTACTCTTCTCCAACACTACAGTTCTAAGGCATCAATTCTTCGTCTGTCATTTTTAGTCACTGTCCAGCTCTTAGATGCATAGCAAGTGACTGAAAAGACCATGGCCAATTATCAAGGAAACCTTAGTCCTCAATCTGACATCATCTCTCTTTAATAATTTGGAGAAGTCCCTTATGGAAGACGTGCCCTGCACAATTCCCCAAGAAATGGTGTAACTGTGTCCTTTTTGTTCGTTATATTCTCTGCACCTAAAACCATCTGGCATTTATTAAACATGCTGATCAGATGATGGAGCAGCGTTCCCTAAAGTGCCCAAGCCAGCCAGCTTGTGCTGTTACAAGGATTTATCTATGGCTAAGCCGCACAGATTCTTTTGGTGTGCCATTTTCCAAACCTCTAACTTCCCATAAATTCTCCCCAGTATTTAGCCAATAAGTGCCTCTTCTGCTTAAGTTAGCTGGAGTTAAGCTTCTGTGGTTTCCACCCAGCAATTGGACTGGTGCTCCCTCTAACAGAAGAATGTGCCAAGGAACCTTTAGAAATGTTGCATTGGTTCAAGTGTGGCAGGCTGGGCAGAGGGTTTCCACAAGCTACCAGGAGACACAGCTGTGGGTGGAACAGGCCTGGGCTCTAAGCTCAGGTCTAGCTGTTGTTATAATGTACCACCAAGTCAGAATCGACTCAAAGCAGACCCTCCTGTGTTTTTAGAGGCTGTAAATCTCATGGGAGGAAACGGCTCACCTTTCTCCTGTATAGTAGCTGGTAGATAAGAACTGCCTGTCTTTGGGTTGGCAGCACGCAGCTCCTTAGCACTGAACCACCTGGTCTTGCTGCTAAGTGCTGCTGAGTCAAGTGTGATTGACAGTAATCCTATGAACAACAGATCTGAACCCTACCCTATCTTGTGCCATTCTTATCATCTCTGACACACAAAAGCTCACTGCTCAAGTCAATGTGTCAATCCGTAATGTTGGGGATCTTCTCCTTTGCTGACCCACCATCTTCCCAAGAATGATGTCCTTGTCACTGGAGCCACAAATGCCACCCTAAGGAGCCTGCATCCAATTCTGGGAAACTGGAAAGAAGCCCAGACTCTGACTGGATAGAGACAAAGTCACCCCACAGTAAGCAAACCGGTGTTACACACCTCCTGCATGGCCTGATATTCGGGTAGTTTCAAAGGTCTAGGTAGATACCATTCTTCCAACATCAAGTGCAGGGGTCAGAAAACATTGGCTGATAGGCCAAATCTGGCCCATTGCCCATTTTTTATAGTCTATAAGGTAAGAATAACTTTTATATTATTTTAAACAGCTGGAGGGAAAAATCAAAAGGATTATTTTATGATGTAAAAAATAAGTAAATGCATACTTTAGCACCCATAAAGTTTAACTGGCATGCAGCCATGCTCATTCATTTACATACAGTCTGTGGCGGAGCTGAAGAGCTGAGCCTGAGACTGTGTGGTAAGCAAACCTAAAATATTCAGTATGTGACCATTTACACAAGTTTGAAGAACTCTCCAAATAGATGGGTCACGTGGGGCCACATGAGAGCCTTGGGGCAGATCCACTATCTCTGAAGCAGTAGCGTAGACATTTGCCTTGAAATGCTAAAGTAAAAAACAATCTTCCTGTAAAGACAACATTCTGGTTTTTCCACCAAAAAAAGTAGGATTGCTTTCATTTAGGCCGTAAGTGTAACTAACTCTTACAGAAAGTGAGTTAACTAACTTTCTTCTCAATTCTCCAAAAGATGGAACTTAGGACCACTCTAGATTAGAACGAGAAAGAAGAAACAGAAGAGAAATTAATTTACGACATAAAATGAATACCTTAGGGCATTAGTCCTAATTCTGCTAACTCTGGTTGAGAAGGACCAATTCAGCCTGAAAGTCAAGTTCTTTCTGCCTAACCAACATCCTTTTGCTCTAGGACATTTCAGGTATACATGGTAGTAATTAAACAGAGGAAACCAGGTTCTTTTTTTGGCAGGTCTGGGGAACGCAGGAGGTGCTCTCTTAAAATGCAAGTATCCAAATCCTCCTTGAAGTCTTTGGTTGAATCACCCACATATCTTGGCCCCCAAAGGCCCCTAATGAATACATTAAGGCATTTGCCCCCACTTTCTCCTCCCCATCCCTAGTACGCTCTTCATCAAAGGAGAACCACAGCACACCTGTGGGAAGTCCCAGGGTGAAGTACTTTTCTGGCCCTGGGTTAAACTGGATGATGCGATTCCTGATGTACTTGGCCGCCCACTCACTGGCCTGAGAATAGTGGTCCAGGATGATGAGCTTCATTGTGTCCTGTAAGAAGGTGACAAAGCAAGTCAGTGGTAAGAGACACAGGTGGGAAGTGATGGAGATAGCTGTGGAAGAAGAAGCCCCTCTAACCAAGCAACAACTTGCTTCTCAAGTTGTCAGAGTCAGAGAAGAAAACTTTGCCTTTCATTTCACAGGTGAATTTACAGGCTGGGCAAAGTAACATAACTCCACCAGCTACCAGGAGGCATGGTTGTGTGACAGTCTGGGTTCTAACCTTGTTGTTGTTGTGTGCTGTCAAGTTGCCTGCGACTCAGCGACTCTATGTACAACAGCCCTAAACTCTGCCTATCCTGTGCCAATCTCACCATCTCCGACACACCTGTGCCCCTTACCCCAGTCACTGAATCAATCCATCTCATTGAGGGTCTTCCTCTCCTGCGCTGTCCCTCCACCCTCCCAAGCATGACATCCCTCTCCAAGGACTAGTCCCTCCTTGCAACATGTCCAAAGTATGTCTGACGAGGCTTCAGAATCCTTGCCTCCAAAGAGTAGCCCGGCTTCACCCTTTCCAGGACAAACCTGTTTGTCCTCCTAGCAATCCATGGTATATTCAACACTCTTCTCTAGCACCACAGCTCAAAGGCATCAATTCTCCTTCTATCATCCCTAGTCATGGTCCAGCTCTCCGATGCAAAGACCATGGCATGTAGCAGGTGCACCTTTGTCTTCACACTGACATCTTTGCACTTCAGCACTTTAGAGAGATCTCTAACCGGACTTTCCCATGGCAATACATCTTTTAATTTCCTGGCTGCTGGCGCCAAGAGTGTTGACTGAGGAGCCAAGCAAACCAAAACTGTGAACAATCTCAATCTCTTCACCATCCATTATGACACTGCCAATTGGCCCAATGAGAATCTTTGTTTTCTTGATATTGAGTCTTAATCCATACTGAAGACTGCAGTCCCTGACCTTCCACAGCAAGTGCTTCAGGTTCTCTTCAGTTTCAGCAAGCAAGGTTGTGTCATCTGCATAACACAGACTGTTGATGACTCTTCCTCCAATCCTGATGCCACATTTCTCCTTATAGAGCCCAGCCTCCCTGATAACCTGTTCTGCATAAAGATTGAAAAGGTGGATGTCAGAAGAGACTCTGAATATTGCACTGGAGTGCTGAGAAGCCAAAGCAGAATGAAGAAAGCAAGACATTAAGTAGCTGAACAGGAGATTTCAAAAGGCTGCACAACAAGACTAAGTAAAGTATTATAATGAAATGTGCAAAAAGAGCTGGAGTCAGAAAATCAAAGAGGCTGAACTCGCTCAGCATTTCTTAAGCTCAGGGAACTGAAGAGCAAAGTCAAGCCTCGAGTTGCAATACTTAAGGATGCTTTGGGCAGAATATTGAATGATCCTGAAGTATTAAAAGAAGATGGAAAGAGTATACAGAGTCATTATACCAAAAAGAATAGGCACCACAGAAGAATTTAATGAAACCATATACGAGCAAGAGCCTATGGTGATGAGGGAAGAAGTTCAGACTGCTTTGAAAGAATTAGCTAAGAATAACGTCCCAGGAATTGATGGTATACCAATAGACATATTTCAACTAACAGATGCTGCCCTTGATGTGCTCACCAAGTTGTGCCAAGAAATCTGGAGAACAACCACTTGGCCAATTGACTGGAAGAGATCTATATTTGCTCCTATCCCAAAGAAAGGTGATCCCACAGAGTGTGAAAATTATTGAACAATATCCTTAATATCACATGCAAGCAAGATTTTGCTGGAGATTATCCAAAAACGACTGAAATAGCACATCAACAGAGAACTGCCAGAGGTGAAGGCTAGATTTAGACGGGGCCATGATACTAGAGATATTGTAGCTAATGTTAGATGGATCTTGACTGAAAGCAAGGAGTACCAGAATAATGTCTATCTTTGTTTCATTGATTATGCAAAGGCATTTGACTGTGTGGATGGCAACAAACTGTGGCTGACTCTGAGAAGAATGGGAATCCCAGAACACTTGATTGTGCTAATGCAAAATCAATACTTGGACCAGGAGGCAGTCGTCAGAACAGAGCAAGGAAACACTGCAGGGTTCAAAATTGGGAAGGGTGTACACCAGGAGTGTATCCTGTCTCCATACCTTTTCAATCTTTATGCAGAACAGGTTCTAACCTTAGCGTCTCCATTTATTAACAGTGGGACCTCCCTGTGGGCACAGCTGTCAAGTGCTCAGCTGTGCATTTTGAGCCCACCAATCACTTTGTGGCACTCTGTAAAGATTACAGCCTTGAAAACCCTGTGGAACTGTTTTATCCATAGGGGTACTATTAATATCACATGCAATAAAAATTTTGCTGGAGATAGTACATAAACAAGGAACTGGCAGAACTACAAGCCGGATTAAAAAGAGGATATGGAAGAAAGGAAAGCATTGCTGATATCAGAGAGATCTTTGCTGAATGCCAAGGATACAAGAAAGATGTTTACTTGTGTTTTATTAACTATGCAAAGCCACTTGACTGTGTGGATCATAACAAATTATCAGTGGCAAAGAATGGAAAATGAGAAGAATGGAAATCTCAGAACAGTTAATTGTGTTCATATAGAACTTATACACAGACCAAGAAGCAGTTGTTTAAGTAGAAGACGAAAATATTGCATGGTTTAAAATCAGGAAAGCTAACCTTCAGGGTTCTTTTTTTTTTTTTTGCTTTTTCATTCTTATGCAATTGGTATGCTGAACAAATAATCCTAGAACTAGGCTATACGAAGAAGAATGCAGCATCAGGCTTGAAGGAAGGCTTATTAGTAACCTACAATACACAAATTACATTAACTTTGCTGAAGACCTGACGCATTTATGGATGACGCTCAATGACGGTGGCTTTCACAGTGAACTGTACTTCAATATAAAGAAAACAAAAATCCTCACAACTAGACCAATATGCAACAACATGACACATAAACACTGAAGGTGTCAAGCATTTCATTTTGCTTCTATCCACAACCGATACTCTTGGAGCAACAGTCAAGAAATCAAACAACATATTACACTGGGCAAATTTGTTCTTTAAAGAACTCTTTAAAGTGCTAAAGAAAGAGCAAGGATGTCATTTGGAGTATTAAGGTGCACCTAACCCAAGCCAGGGTATTTTCAATAGCTTCAAAGGCATATCGAAAGTTAGCAAATTGAATAAGGAAGACTGAAGAGCAATTGATGCCTTTCAATTGTAGCGTTGATGAAGAACACCAAATATACCAGGAACTGTCAGAAGAATAAACAAATCTGACCTTGAAAAGTAGAGGTTCAGTGGAAAACCCTCAAAGAGATGGAATGGCATAGTAGCAGGAACTATTTAAATACAGCAGAAACTCTGAGGACCACGGAGGGCTGGGTAGTTACACAAGGTAGCTATGAATCAGAACCCACTGGCCAGCACTTGACAGTAAAGAGATTCACAATGAATGGAAATGATCTAAGGCAATGGGTCTGGATTTTGGTTTGGAAGACGTTGGTCAAATGACCCAAGTTTTCAGACTCGGTCCGTTTCCTCCTAACACCTAATTGAAAGGATAGATATTTCACCGATCTCACAATGTTGAATATTAACTGAAATAATGCACGTCAAGCATTAAGGATTAATATTAGCTATTAGTATTACCTTGTAGCCACAGTTGTCTTCAGGCCTGTATCTCAGGTCTGATAACTCTCTCCAAGGACTCTCTCTCAAAAAGTAGAGAGGTCGTTGGGGCCACCAGAGCTGGTGAAGAGAAGAGCTTTGCCTGGGAGGTGTGTTCTCTTTCAGTACTGGGGAAGAAGTGTTACTAGCGTCCTTGTTAGCTTTGTGAACCTCCATTTCCCCAAATCAAATGGGTAATGGTTATTGCTCTGGAAGAAGGGAATTTTATTTCCAGGCACTGCGGTCTGTCTTAAGTGGAGCACAGAGGCGGACAGTGCACCCTTTAGAGCTCACCTCACTCAGGTAACAATCCCATCTCCCCTGTGGCCTTGCAGAGGCAAAGGAACAGTGCAACTCGCCAATGTGCCAGCCCCGGGGTGCCAGAGAACGGAGTCGCCCACTTCCCTCCAAGCCCCGGCTCGCCAATGAGGAGGGTCCTCAAGAAGGGTCCGGGGCAGCCAGGACAGAGACTTACGAGCACGGTTCCCGCGGCGGCTGCAGCAAAGGCTCCGGAGGTCCCCCCCCCCCCCCCCCCGCGCGCATCATGTGACCGCGGGTCACGCGGCGGCGCTCGCTCCGCCCACACGGCTGACTCAGCGAGGGCGCGTCCTCGGCTCCGCCGGACTCTGCTCTGTCGCTGCTTCGACCCCGTGAAGGGTGGCGGGACCTCAGCGGCATGCAGGCCTGTATCGAAACTGAAAAACACACTACCTTGTCGAAGGCCAAAGTTGGGAAAGGGTTTTTGTGGCGGTGGAGACAGACGCGCGCACGAGGTCTCTGCCTGGAATGCGGCCCCTTGTTCCTGGGGCTGAAGCTGGCGGTTTTCAGTCCCTGGAGATGGGGGTGGGGACTGAAAGTGCTGAATCAAACTCCAGAGTTAGTGGACCAGGCTCTGTCTTCAGTTTTATTTAAATGTTATTTATCTACCTACTTATTTCAACTTTTTGTTCTATCATAAAAGCGAAAGCAGTTTAAAAAAAAAGTCTTCCCCAAACATGCAACATTAACTGTTGCTCTCAATTTTGTTGCTGTTGTTAGGTGCCACTGAGTCAACTCATAGCGACTCTATGAACAACAGACCTGACCCCTGTCCTATCCATACAGTCTCAAACACACTAGAGCCCGTTGCTGCAGTTACTGTGCCAATCCATCTGTCATCGAGGGTCTCCTCTCTTTCACTGACCGTTCCAAGGAACAACCCCGTCCTAGCAACATGTCAAAAGTATGAGAGACAGAGCTTTGCCATCTTTGCTCCAAGGAATACTCTGGCTGCACCCTCTCCACACTTATCTGTTTGTTCTTTTGGTTGTCCGTGGGATACTTAGTATTCCTTTCAATCAGCACAAC